TGTTTTAAATCGATTCAGGACATGAAGGCAACCATAATAAGACAGCTAAAGACACTCACAAAAGAGGACTTCCAGAACTGCTTCAGAAAATGGTAAGAATGATGAGATTAGTGTGTCTGAAACAAGAGAAGGATGTTGAAGGGGATTGATGGAATGTGTCTTTTACTGTAGTTAACTTAAAATATTTTAAACATTCACCATATGTATTCTTCAGTCATACCCCATATCTTCTTTTTTTTTTTTTTTTTTTTTTTTTTTTTTTTTTTTCTTGGGTTTTTCTCCGGTACCGGGAACCGAACTCACGACCTTGCGCTTGCCAGGCAGGCGCTTTTGCCGCTGAGCTAAATCCCCAGCCCCACCCCATATCTTCTTGGAGGGTACAGTTCAACACAACTACTTTAACTAAGACAGAAATACACAAGACAGAAACCAGTATCTGGATGTTCTGTGGAATAGACTAAATACCACGGTGACCTCATAGCTGTCCTGGCCATACCTACAAGCAATCAGAGCCAACACCTGAGGTAAAACTGGATCGCCACCAGGAGTCTCATTAGAGAAAGGAGTCTGTAATGGTGGTAGTCCGGCACACGGTGATGAGCTGTGGGGGAGATCATGCTGATGCCCTTCATTTATACATATGCTGAGTCCTGCTGGGGAGTCACCAAACCATCACCTATGGTGCTGTCATACAGCACCACTGGCCTTTCTCTGTGCCTACTGTGTTACCCACACACCAACCATCACCCACCAGGTTCTATGCATGCCTGACCATGGCTTTGGAGTCACCAGGGAAATTTTCCCACTCTTTTTTCTGATTCTACCGTCCACATTCATCATAGCATGGCCAGGCTCCAACTTCCCTCCTTGCATTCACTTCTCCGCCCTCCACCCCCTACAAACTGGAAATAGTGATACACAGCCACCTCACAGGGCTGTTGGGCAATTTAATTAATGTTTATAAAGCACTCTGAGGTCTTCAGATGAAAACTGCTGTGTAAGTGCAAAATTATTATTAGTTCTCAGCCTCCTGTCCCCTGACTTCTGACATGGGCTTTTGTTGTCTCTGAAGGAGAGCCACTTATGGGCTGTCCAACTGGCTCTTTTGGGGACACAGGCAAGTACATACACATTGGCAGAAGTTTTTTTTTCCTTTGAAAAATGCATTCCAACTCTGTGGGATGTCTCAGAGCTTTTCAATGTCTGAATTTCTTTCTACTTGTCTCTACTAAGTACTGTAATCTGCAAGAGTAGATTGTAAACAGGCTACTTTGGCAAAGAGTGAGAGGGGGAAATGGTCAATTTGAAGAAACAGCCCCTCTTATAATGAAGAAAAAACAATATCTCCTCCTCATGCAGAATCTAAATGAACCACTAAGTGAGCTGGCTGCCTAGCCCAGAGGGATACTGGATATGTTTACCCATTGAAAGGAGAAAGGAATAGAAGATTTGCTTTTAGTGCCTGAATTTTGCCTCCTTTACCCTAACTTCTCAGGAACCATGGAAACAAATACACAAGGCCTAGATGGTGTTTTCCTGGTAGTCCTTTGTTACCTAACTGTGCACTGCCTAGAATCCCATGGGGAGAATGAAATAAAAAGTGGAAAAGGAAAGAAGCACGGGTGCAAGTGGAATGCCTTGTCTCTGGAGGACAGAGTGGGGCTGGTGTGTGATATATCAAGCACTGGGGCAATGCACAATGTCATACAGCACCACTGGCCTTTCTCTGTGCCTACTGTGTTACCCACACACCAACCATCACACTGTCCGGAAGGTATCTCTTGACTTATCAGCATTCTTGGTTAGTAGGTTTGCTAGTCACCCAACTGCTGGAAGATTTCATTTTTAAAGATCACTAAGGAGCTATTACACAATGCATAACCAGTTAGACAAAACTATAAAGACTCAGAACCCAGGAAAGAACCCCGTGCTGGTTATATGGTTGTAAATACACAAACTATTAAACCAAAAGAACTCAGGTAATGCCGGGGCATGTTTCCTCAGTCAACTAATCACTGATGAGCTGTAATACTAAAGTATATAAGAGGATAACCAAAAATGTTTTTCCAGGACAGGAAAGCTGAGATGGGAGTGAGAGGAAAGAAGAGTACAATTAGCCAGAGCCATGAAAAGTCTATGACTACCACAGTGACAGTCTTATTAGCTATAGTGATGGTCGGGAAACTTGGAGACATTTTTCAGGGGCTTAAGTTCTGCCTGTTGTAGAAAGGCAGAGATAGAAGGGAAAGGCCATTTTTTTCCATTCTGCTATTTTTAAAAAGGAAAGGAGACCTTAATAAAAGGGGAAAAAAGACAAACAACAATAACAAAAACACATGTATGACAGCTAGATTGTAAGAAACCCAGGAACTGAACATTGAACAGATAATGTGTACAAGCCCCCCTGTTCCCATCTCTCTGTTCTCTCCCATTCTTTTACTTCTCTCCCACATGGTCTTCCTACCTCCCATCTCCCCCACCTCTTTCATCTAGCGCTCCTTATTTTCCCAGCTTTTATCCCCAAATCAGATTGAACGATATGGCGCCCCAAGTCAGGATCCTTCCAGCTCTCTGACAACTTGCTCATCTTTCCATACTGCTTTCCCCTGCTCTACCATTGATGCCCCATGCCTTCATTTCTCAACTTCCGCTCAAACCTGCTCTCTACCTTCTTGCCTTAAAGACTGGGCTTTGAAGCTGGGGTGGTGGTGCACACCTGTAATACCAGCACTCAGGAGGCTGAGGCAGGAGGATCATTGCAAGTTCAAGACCAGCCTGAACTGCAAAGTGAAACCCTGTCTCAAAAAAGACCAAAAAAAAAAAAAAAAGACGACGAGGACTAGGCTTCACTATTCCCACCATCATTTCCATCACTATTATTCAAAATCTTGCTTATCTTTCAAATCCAAGTAAGTGGAATCAGTTCTGCAAGCCTTGTAAGGTGTTTCCAGAAGAACCTGGACACTTGCACACTGTGTGTATTGTGCATGTATGTGTTGGAGCATGTGTGTGTCCCCACTACTCTGTATAATAAGTAAAACAAGTAACTGTGCTTAGACCACTGAGCTAATTCCTCCATCCAATATACTGTAAGCCTCTTCTTAACTTTCGCAGACTGTCTACACTAATATTTTATCTACGATAAATGCCCAGCCAATACAGTATACTTCTGTTTAATTTCACCCATCAACTCACACACACACATACAATACAAAAGGGCATGTGGTAGATTTTTAATTTCTTCTATAATTTAAAGGTGAAAATAAACACATCTAGCCCTGAGAGGATAATAAAATAGCAATAATAGACTCTGAACAAAGATCTGGCTGATTGACAATGTGACCATCCAATTACATCAAATTAGGCTCTGTAAATAATCAGTAGTTTAAAAATTCTGAGGAAAAATTATGGGTGAATTAAGCAAACAGCTCCTACGCTAAGGATTTTGGGTCTTTGGCTATTTTTACAAAGACAAAGTATCGAACTATTATCCAGTTAATGCAACCAGATGAAGCTGCCAGTGAGGAGAAAGCCAGGGAAGCAGACTGAATGATGCTGAGCCTCTCAACGCCCCTGTGCTATGAGGTCTGACACTGGGCCTCACTTTGCTGCCTCGGTGTCCACAGCCACAACCCTGGCAAATAATCAAGCCCTACTGGGCTCCAGGACTGTGGCTCAGTCTGTTCTATGACTAAAGCCATTGAGTATTATGATGAACACAAAAAACTAGAGGCTATCTATTGGAAGGATGTGAAGCTGGCACCCATGTCTGTCTTTGCGTCCTGGAACGTCCCAAGGCAAAATTGTTATAACTGTAGATCTAATTCCATAGACAGAGGAGACATCTGAGAGCAGCTTGCCCTGATGGTAAGACACAGAGTAAATATGGTCCATGAGAATCTACCTTGCTCTAAAATTTCTTAATAGGACTCAAGTAGAAAATCCATTCACTCTTCTTCATAAATTCTGCCTTCCTTGCCCTTCTGGCACACACACAGACACACCCCTTTTTCATATATCAAATACTTGCTGAGAACTGTTGAGGTGATCGGAAGGCAGTGTAAACCAACCAGGAGCAGCCCCCTTCCTGGCCTCTCTTGCACTGTAACTCTGATGGCCATGGAACACTCAGCTCACCATGCAGTCACCCTATGAGGGCAACATGGGCACCCACCAAGTCAGTTCCTTCCTTTTAACAAAACCATTTGGTGGAAGATTCACAGGCTCTGATGTTGTCTCCATGTCCCTCCTTCCCTTCTTGCTTTGGTATCAACTTCTTATTTGCTAGACCCTGGGCTCAGTTGTTCCACATATCATCTCATGTACTCTTCACCATACACCTGCTGAGTAGATCCATTCCTGTTTAAAGATCTGTTAACTGAGCTTTAGAGAGATAAGTCTCAGTCCAAGGTAGTACAGCTCCAGGTGGATAAGAACTCAGTTCTTAATGACCATGCTAAGTGATCGCTCCAGCACTTTTCGTGAAGCATTTGAGAATGCAGTTAATTTTACTGAAAGGGAACCTACAGCTTTCATAGACATTTTATGTGCACTGATCTTTGTAAAGAGCCATTCACCTATGATGCTTTTATGAATATTACAACCACTTGTATAGATTATTCTCAACTTTTGGGGGCTAAGGGACCTATTTGAGAATCTTGAGTGAAACCCCATGAATCCCAGGTTCAATATCCCTAACATTACACACTTTTCTGAGGCAGAAACACTCCCTTTCCATCCCATCCCTGTGGCCATGCATATAGGAGAGGTGACTGTGTGCTGACCGGGTGGTGATGCAGTCCCAGGGTTTTGCAAAGGTGGGATTGGCCCCTAAAGGCCAACCACTATGTATGCCCTACTTCCCAGAGGAAGGGGGGGAACCTAGGGCCATCTATCATTTCTCCAGTTTATCTCAGATTCTGTTTTCCAACAGAACAGATTGACTTCCTGGCACTCATTGCAAAATCTCATGAGTTTGTAAGAAGAAAAAAGAAAAACACTTCCTAGTCACATGCACAGCTTTAATACCAGGAAAGTGATGACAATGAGACAAAAAGCACTAAATCAATTCAGTCTCCCCTTCACTCTAATATTGGCATAGACAAACGGGTCCATGTGGAAGGCTATGGGACTATTCTCTTTGCAGACTTCTTTGTTCTGAATGATGGAGAACACAAGAAATACACCATGGTAATAGCAAGGATAATGACCCAATGGGGCACTGAATTTGAAGAGTGCTTTATGTCTTTTCAAAGCATGTTCACATACATTATTTTAATCAACCCATAGAACAGCTTCCCAGTTTACAGCTGAGAATGAAGAAACCATTAAAAAAACTTGTCCAAACTCATACAGCTAGGTAGTGGGGTGCCTGGGGCTAGAATCAGATGACATGGTTGGTCTAGTATTCCCAACAGGTCACTCAATAGTGCTCTGTCTTCTCTGTCCTACTGTCACTCTCTGAATTCTTCCCACTTTCCACATTTTAGTTGCGTGTCAGTTAGCAATGCTATCTAACTAGATACAGATTTCAAAAGAAGAAAAACACAAGTTCTTCTTTGACAAGTACACATTAATATAAAAATAAATGTGGCACTCTTCTTTATTGCTTCTTTATGGGTGTCTTTCCCAGATGTAAAGGCCCTGTTGGAGACCAGTCCACTGGCCTTTCACTTCTACATAAACATAATTATCCTTAGTAATAGCAGAACCTTCACAGCAGGAAATTATTTGCCAAATATTTCTCACTGTCTCACAGCTTGGCCTGTCAATCTTTCTCAGATGTAAGACATCTGGGCTGGTGCAACAAAACACAGCAAATTCAGAGATGTTTCCCAGATGTGGAATAGGACAGCTGTCCTCAGGAGTCAGTCACAGGGCCAGTTCTGGGCATTCAAATTTCCCAAGACCCTTTTCCAACTGCATCTCACTATAGCTTTTATACGACTGAAAGAGTGTCCAAGAGGTTGACCAGATAGCTGCATAAAATGCCACAATGGTAGCTGTGGAGAAGTAGCAATGGCCCCATGCTATGTAATCATGTGATGGTTTTCAAGACCCCACAAGCGGAAAGTGGGGTAGGATCCACTTTCAGATGTTCTTGGTCAGGTGAAGGACCTCACAGGCAGGGTGTCATCCTCAAGGTGGGGCTCATTCTTCTCTTGTCCAGTGTAGTATCTAGGCACACCACTGAGCCCTTGACTTCAGAAAAACAGCAGAAATCCTGTTCACACCACTTCTGTCTTGTGAAGAGTCACTGGCCCCAAATGTTTATTTGGGGAGGTGACTGGGAAAAAAGCTCGTTCTGCGCCAGGCTTAGAAAAGTCTGGGAAAATACTCTGTAGTCGTGCAAATTTCTAAAAAAGTGAAATGAAAGAGACAAGTTGAGACGTGAATAACTGAGTAGAGGCAGCAGTGATCACCCTTCTTTAGGAGTTCATGGAGCAACTCATTTGGGAAGCCCGAGTTATACAGCTCACTTCTCTCATTCTATAAAATACTTGTGCCATTTCCCTTGCCAATCCCCTTTGGCCAGGAGATTCACTGATTAAGGATTGTAGTCATTTCAGACTCCTAGATCTGTATGCAAAACTGACACCTGTAGAAGCAGGCATTTTCCAACAAGAGGCTAATAACACCACTCATGCTTTAGAATCTACCGTCTGGAAAAGAGGACAGATCCATCCCTGGGTGTCTGGACTTGCTCCCTCACCCACAGGGAGGGCCAGGCCTCTGACCTGGGCTAGTGGAAGGTTGCATTGTGAGCTCACCACTATCACTACATGGCCTCCTGGTTTTCAGTGGGATCTTTTGGCATTTCTCAAACTTACTTCACCTGTTTGTCTTCATTTGCTTTTCACAAGTGTGGACAAAAAAAACACCAAGCTGGAACCATCTTGGGGAGCTTCCTATCATGGTCTTTCCAGCGTGGCGGCCTCAGTGAGTTCAGGGGTTAGAGAATCATCGCTTTCCCCATTATTAAATCATTCACATTAATACAAAACATACATGGCATTGGTGGTGCCAGGTGATCTCTTCATGGTAATAGACGCTTTCAACAGATACTTACGCAAGTGAAAATGATGAGTGTTAAGTAGAAAATGACCAGAGAGAAGAGCAGGACAATCTCAGCTCTGTATTTCTTGAAAGTTGTTTCGTTAGGTTCTTTAAAGCATCCTTTAAAGAAAAGCAATATATGAAACCATTTTAATGGATTTTTCTACCATAATACAAGGCTGCTTCTAGCCCAACCCACGGTCACCCACACTTCCCCTCATGTTCACGCACCAAGAAGGACCGCAGCCACGGTCATGTTGTTCTGTCCCTGGTGTGTGCCATGGCAAATGCACGCACTGTGTCCCCAGTCTTCAGACCAGCTCTGAGTTCCCACGTTACAGAGACAGCAGCTGAGGCTCAGAGTGGCCAAGGACTGAGACACGTGACAGGAACAGGCATTCATCCAGAAGTCAGGCCTTCCTGGCTTTTGTCTGCACCTCTGATGACCCACCATTTGTCTATTCCTCGGTTACCTTACCTTCTTCTGGTCAGATACACTGCTATGTGTCCTCCCTTAGGGGGGCCTCATAACTATGAAATAAGATGGGAACTGCCTTTCTACTGCCAAAGAAAGTCAACCTATTTGGGAAGAACCTGAGCTTTTCCATGACCTCAAGGCTCAGCGTCCCCAAGGACATTGAGGGCTGAGGTTGCAGCACTGGAGGGTGACCTAGGGGACACCATGTGTACTACGCAGCAAGTTTGGCATGGGCTGTGGTATGATTGCTCAGGGAATCTGTTTATGGCCCAAGCAACAGGTGGTGGGCAGATGACCCGAGGGAGCTCCTCCCCTGGGGCCTGCGGGTTTGAAACTGGACCCCAAACTACATGCAATAGTCCAGGGATGGCTTCTCACCTGGGTCTGTACTTCAATTAAAAGGGACAACAGCCACTGCCACAAGGAAGCCTAACACTGACTGAGCACCCAGTCTACTGGAGCTGCCCTCAGCATTTTAATGCAGTGGCTTGTTTAACCTTAGGGAGAAGCCCAGGTGGTAGATGTTATTGTCCCTATTTAGCGATGATACAGCCTAGGCTTAGGGTAGCTCAGTGATGCGCCCAAGGTCACATGCGGATGAGCAGCAGAGTCAGCATGTGATCCAGAACTAAGTGATTCCCAACCGGCTTCAGAAGAGGAAAGGGAGAGAAAACTCAGCTATGCTCTGATCACTTCTCTCCACTCTCCACAGGGCTTGCTGCCTCTTTCTCTGCCAGGCAGCTCTCATTCCCTTCCAGGTGACTGATATTCACTGAGGGCCTACTGTGTGCTAGGGTAAGCAGAGAACAAAACAGTTCTTACTTTCTTAGAATAGGTAGACAGTGAGCAAATCTTTGTATAGTATGTCAGGTGTAAAAATGTCATAAGGACACACACAAAAAAGATACAGGGCTAGAGATGAGAGGGCATAGTAAGGGTATATGTGTGTGTGTGTGTGTGTGTGTGTGTGTGTGTGTTACATGGCAATTGAGTTCTTGTGAGTTTCAGAATATTATCTTACCTCTGACTGCTCTCAAATAACTGATATGAAGAGAAAGTAGCTATTGTGCGAAACTAGGGGCTCTAGGACAACATGTTTGTCATTTCCGGCCTTAACCCTTAACAAGTGTTGGGCAAAAGTCAACGCATAGTTTAGACCACATAAAGAAAAAGTGATGACTTTCTTGCAGTGGAATTCAGCTGTCAGCACAGATGTGATCCTAAGCTGCAAAGTTAGTCTCCAAAAGAGAAGATCGATTTCAAGACCTACAGAAAGTGCATATGCATTTCGCAAGAAGAAAACAAGTGGAGCAGGTCACCTCACCTGTCACTTTCAGAGTCACCACGCCACTGAGGTTTCTCTGCCCTCCTAGCTCCTGCAGAGTGCATCTGTATGTCCCCGAGCTGCAGCTGGTAGTGTTTTCGATCTTCAGAGAATAGGGCTTTTCCTCAGGGGCCTTGGAAGAGCCATTTTGCCCGGGCTGATGATAGCTCTGTCCCCTGAGGTGCGCGTCTTCCTGGGGCGACTCCAGTCTCTCCTCGCCACCCTCTGTGAGCTACGGAGAAGCAATCAGTGCATTGTGTTGATACCAAGGTTTTGCATCTTGTTTTCAAAAAGCTCATCCAAAATTCATGTTTCTAAAATAGGAAATGGTGTTTGTTTTCGGTTTGTATGTGTGAACTCCAAGGGAGAAAAAGAGAATCTATAAAAATGCTTTTAAGTCTATATTTTCTTTGGAATAAGATCAGGACTGCATTTTATGATTCTAGTACCAGTATCCTAACTTCCAACCCACAGGAGGTAGAGAGTGACGGGTTCTTAATTTTGGACCCCAGCGTTTTATTTGAAAAAACTCCTAAGTCTGTTAAGATCATTGCCAGACAACTCAACTGCAGACAGAAATGCGGCTGAGCAAGGCTTCCTGTGAACTGTCGCCTTGTTCCTCAAAGGCTGCACATGTGCATGGCGATGCTCCACGTCGTGGGATGTGCCACACGTTTTCTCTCTGCTAAGGCAGGAGGAGCGCTGAGGAGCATGCTATGTGGAGGTGTCTCCAGTCAGCTCATCAGGCGGTCCTAGCCAGCAACACGTAGGAAGACAGTCACAGTCACATCTCTGTGCCCAGGTAGACAAACTACCTTTGGGACTCAAGCGGTGGAGTGTTTCCACCATCTCCTACTTTGAAGATGTGGCGCACACCATATTCACCAGCAATTTTTGTGTCCCTGATGGCACCTGGCAACTGTCAGTCTCCTGTTTGGGAGCACTCTGCAGCTCTTATCTGACTTTTAGAAGGGATTCAGGGGAGGGGAACAGACAACCAAGGGTTTCTGGGGACACCTTCTGAAAGAAAACATACACACAGATGCATGTGAGCAACACACACATGCACACGCACAACACGCACATGAGTCATTTCTACTTCACATGCTAAGTTAGGGACTGCACCACAAGGTCACACAAAGCTCAAGTCCCACAGCCTTTCCTGTGCTCTCAGGCGGTAGAGTGAGCTACAGAGACATCTGGTGGCAGATTTATCACTCACTCTGCAGCGACTGAGAAGAAAGGCTCTTCCCAGGCAGTCTCTCCTTATAAAGTCCAATTACTGAGGTTCCTGCTTGTGCTTAAAAGCTTTCCTAAACACCATAGTCCAGAATCTACAGGAGGAAGCTAAGAAGCTGGGGCCTGTGGTATTCAAGACAAAGCAGAAAAGCAGAAATGGCTATGGAACCTTGGAAAGAACGAAAGACATCCAAAGGATTCCAGAACACATTGAATTTAGCACATTCTTTTTTTCCTTTCCAAGCTTCATGAAACCACAGACTGTGGGCTCTGCACTGCTTTCACCTCCATGGCCCAGCAGAGGTGCTTCCTCCTACCAGCAAGAGCTTTGGATGACCACACAGAGCACCAACCAGGGCCAGAGTTGCTCCTAAGGCCAGTGTGAGCTGATTAAGCCACCCCAATCCCTGCACTCTCTACACTTCGCCCTTCTAGATTTACCTCCAAATGCAAATGGCTCCAACAACCATCTGGAGTGAATCAGCCTCTAGTTTTCTCCCAGGGAGCTTCTCCCATCCAGTTCCCTGGAAAGTAAGGATCAAAACTTCCAAAGGTCCCTGGAAGCACCTATTCACATAAAGATGGCCCCATTACCCAGCTAGCTCAGGCAAGGAGGTGCTGGTGATGACAAACAGTGAGCAACAGCCTTCTACCTGTTTGCAGAGGGGAATTCATCTTAACAACCAGCAGCTACAACAACAAACAGATAGATGTGTTTGATGGTCAGATTTCTACCCAGCCCTTGACAAAAATTCCAGCCTCTGGTTATTTTTAAATGGCAACACAAAGGTAAGATGAAACAGAAAGAAAAACTAAAGGGAATTGTAAAGAAAATGCAAATGAAACCTCCTGCAGAATTCTGATTTGCTGAATCAGTGCAGCCATCGGTGGGGTCAGGGCAAAACAACTCAGCTTTCCTAAGGTCAACTCCCAAAGACCCTCTCTTCTGAGGGAAGCAGAGAACTGGAGCTCTAGCCTGAGAACTCCAGCCACCCTAATGAACAGCACTTTTTGCCCTGTAACTTGACCACAATAACATCCCCTCTTACTGAAGGAGATATATTCCAAGGCTCCCAGTGGTTATTTGGAGCCTTGGGTAATACCAAGCCGGATATATAATTTTCCTGTATGTACATATAAACAGTGCTAAACTTTAATTTACAAATTAAGCCCTTACTTTTTTCATGTCTTCCCCTCATAAAACTTTTTTCATGTCTTCCCCTCATAAATGTATGCCTTTTCCATCTTGTATGAGGTATAGAGTAAAAGTCACATGAGATGTATTTTTCTGTTTCATAATTTCAGGGATAGGAGATTAGTTTTAATTATAGGTTTTAGCAATTTCAGCGCAAGATTTTGTTTCTTTCTTTATTAAGTGGAGAACTTTTACCTTTTCACTTATGGCTTCTCTTGGCTTATGTGAATTGCCAGCATCCCTATTCTCACACTTTGGGGTCATTTTATGCAGTAAAATATGGGTTACTTGAACACAAGCCCTGTGATACCATAATAGTGGATCTGATAATGAAAAGAGTCATTAAGTGATTAACAGGTGGGTAGCATATACAACGTGGACATTCAGAACAAAGGGATGGTTTACATCTAATGTGGACAACATGTGAGATTTCATCTTCCTATTCAGAACAGAAAATAATTTAAAACTCATGAATTGCTTATTTATGGAATTTTCCATTTAATATTTTCAGATCATGGTTGATCATGGACAACTGAAACAAAGGAGAACAAAATCATGGATAAAGTGGGACTACTAAACAGGAGAAAGATCTTCAGAGACACAATGTGCCTGGGAATATTTCATGGCTTTCCCTCCAGTTTTAATTTCTAGGTATAGATGCGATGTTCATTTCCCTTTCATTTTGGCATTTTAAGGTATACTTTCCCATGTCACTCTACCTGAGAAATATGGAATGTACCCATGGCTATAGAAGTAGTAGTGGTTTTTATGTTAATGTTTTGGGTTCAAAATGGGGTCAGGGTACTAACAAGGTCAATGAACTTTTAATGCCAAAGTTCAAATCATTCTCAACATACGTGCCAAAGACACATTGTCCTGCCTCATCAGATAAGTTAGGTATGGAAGATTTAGCACCAAGGACCAAAGAAGAAATTTCAGCAGAAGAACACAGTGACAGCTAATGGGCCATCTTCAACTTTGTTTTGTTTCATGAGTTCTTATAAACGTTGGAGCTGGCTCAAAACCAACCACTGGCAAGAAAGGCTCTTTAAACATTCCAAATCTAAAAGGGTTTCATTGCTTCTCTGCAAAAGCACTGAGGAAATAGTAATTTATAACAAAAGGCACCCTCAGAATCATTCACAGCCAAGCGTAATTGAAGGAACTCTTTAATACACTCTTCACAATGCTAATATTGTCACACAGCGTTTTAATACACAACATAATTTGGGCAAATTAATTCCTCAAAACACTCATCCCAATACTGTTTTAAAAATCCACACTCTGTGCATTAACTTTCATGAGCTGATAACTTTGTTTTTTGAAGGAATTAGAAAGGAGCAAAATATGAGATTATCTCATTTTCAGAAAGCCTCCAGACTTTAACTTGTGTCAAGGCCTCCAATTTAACCAAATAAATGAAATACCATATCCTTTCTCTGAATTAGAGATTTGACCTAAAGGAAACCACAAGCCCTAAATTAAAATAAACTCTTTAATTTGCTGAATATTGCATGAAGCAAACACAAGGACTATACTAATTTTAAGGGCACGTGAGTTAAGCAGATTTTGTTGTTGTTGTCAATGATCAACAAATTTGAACTAGAAAATAAAATGAATAAATATATAGAGAGAGCTGGAACTGAACCAATGTTTCAATCAAGAACGCTAATGTAGCAAGTGCTTTTCAAAAGTTTACATAATTTTTTTCAACTATGTGCCAATCTCCTAATTACCGTATTTAAGTATAAGCAAAGAAAAGGTTTTGATCATAAACTTGAAATCTAACTTTATGATACATTTGATCTGTTTAAAAAAATGATAAAAGCTTAACTAAAAGAAAAGGAGATTTCTTTTGAAGGGGAAAAATGTGTGCATATACATATGCATATAAACATTTCATCTAAAAATTGGATAAAAACGTATTTAAAGGGAGAGACTGTAAGTATTCCGAGGTGGCATTAAATTAATCTGATGTATTCCAACCACATTGGAACAGCTTTTTTTTATTGCATCTCTTGTGCACTAACATTCATGTACCTTGGTTTCTAACTCAATTAAAGTGCCAATATAATCCCCATTCATCATAAAAACAGCTCTTTATAACGTGCAAAATAGTTTGGCTCGGAGGTTGATGTCACAATGAGGGTAGAATGTATGAGCATTAACATCGTTTTTTTCTAAGTGTAGTTTTATTAGAAAAATGATTTTCCACTTTGAAATTTACTGAGTCTAACAGACAGAGTTGGATTTATGGCTGTTACCAAGAATTACGAGTAAAGCAGAGGGAGCATAATGAAGAGCCCAGACTCTGGAGCTGGCCAGAGCTGAAACCAAACCCTAGCCCTACCAAGGCTCCTGCTGCTCTTGGCCAGCTGGCTGCGCAGCTCCCAGACTGGCTTGTTCCACTGGGACCTGAGGGGACTGTGTCTCACCAAGTTGGTGTGAAGATATTTTCAGTGATGTATGCAGACCCTAACTATAATACCAATCCCATGGAAAGCCCTATACATGTTACTATTCTTTTTTTTTAATAGTCAAGCTTTTATTCAATATGTTAAACAGTCCCTTGCCCATAGGAAGTACTCAAAAGTGTGTTCTGGTGAATGAGTGGATTTTAGAAATAATGGAAAAATTACAAGAGCCTTGGCTTTGGAATCAAAAAGCTAAAGTCAAGTCTCATATTCTCCATCTGGTAGCTAGATCATCTTCAGGAAATCTCCTCACCTCTGCATTTTAGTCTCTTGTCTGGAAGGGGATTAATATAAGAATCAAATGAGAACACACATGAAAGTTCC